TGCAGTGTATTATTTGTTGAAACTGTCCTTCCGATTTGATTTGAAACTGTCTCATTGCTATCTGTTTGTCAATAAAACTTTGAAAAATAAAAAAATAAAAAAAATACAAAGAAGGCAGGAGCGGGGAGACATATTACAATACATATGTTACAGATTTTCAAAACAGGAATAGCTAACTAACAGTGGTTGATGTAGTATCTATTTTTTATTTTTGAAGAAGATATAAAAAAGTAAAAAATATAAATCATGCATAATTTTGCTACACAAAGTGATAGGAATCAATAATGGTTATTATATTGCATATTATTGTCTTCAAAGTACTCGTTCAGATTAGCAGATACCAGCCTGAAAGGTTGGTCAAAAAATATAAACAATTTAAAAGGAGAGAGAAAAAATCTGAGCATTCACACAGATTCTGGGTCAATGTATGTTTGAGTGTGAATCAATGAAAAACACAGGCAGACCCCAGGAACAGGTGACAAAGACTGTCCCTCAATCTACTCTTGATGACAGCCACATGATAGAGTTCAGTATATTTCCTCACTCCAGGATCGCTCACACAACCACCTTGGTGGGCATCTCCCACTCTAGATGCAGGCATTTTTCAGGAATCCTCATCACATCAAAGAACAGCCTCACTCGGCCTTATTGCTTAAGCTCCTCTCCAAATGGGGTCATCCAGACCTATTCTATTTAGTTATTTATTTCTTATTTTTATTTTATTTTTGATTTTTCCCATAATTTTATTGAGAAATGAATAGCAATGAGACAGTTTCAAATCAAATTAGTAGGACAGTTTCAATGATTAATACACTGCATATAGTTTTCTTAGTGGTTTTTAGTTGTACAAGATGCAGATGATATCCTATTTATAAACACTACTAGAACAACTCCCTCTGATCATTGAATTAAGGGAATGTAGCTGTATATCTGTTAACTATTTTGAATATACAGATACAAAATGGTCATTCATTTGTATCCCGTTTTTGTTTAGTTTTGTCATTTAAATATTATAGGCGTGTGAATTCAGCAAAATATTTCAAAATAGTCCAGTAGTCCATAATAGTAGTGGGTTTTCTGTATCACTGGCAATGTCTGAAGTTGTTGAGTTGAGTCTTTTACATCTCAGCATAATAATATAACTTTACTTCTATTACTTAGTTTTTATTCTTTTCTACTGGATGGTTAAGACCAAGATAAATCATGATATATGTAATAAGAATTGTGGATTTTGTATCTTATAGGGTCAGTAAAGTGCCCCAGGATTTATCCTGAGACCTTGTAGGTCCTTTGTCAGTGTCAGCCATGTGGATGAGTCATAGCCATTGCTTGACCAATTTGCTCTCTGTGAAAGCCTGGGAGAACATTTTCTCTCCATGTGACTCTCTTTAGGCACACTCTACATCATTGATCACTTTCCTCTGTGGCCCTAAAATCTCCTTGATCAGAAAATTTGGGATAAAAGTGAGTCACATGATGTGACAATACAGGTTCTCATAGGTCTTTAGTCTTTATTGAACTTGAAAGGTTAGAGACAAAATATTGGCTGTCCTTGTGGCCCTCCTTTTTCTCTAATTTTTGATCTGCAAACTTAGGTTGTTAATGCTTCAGAAGAGAAGCTTATAGTTATTACCTTACAACCTAGGCTGTTGATCTTAACCTCATTACCTATCTGAATATCAAACATCTTAGGTATAACTAGGAACAGGTATTTTTCAAGTATTGATATGTTAAGCTTTAAGCCCCTATGGAATATGATGAAAAAAAATTTTAAAAAGTGAAATACATTAAAAAATAAGAATAAACAATTATATATTTTTACACATAAGCTTAGAAATCTAACCATATACAGCATTGTAGCAGGATGGTCCCGCAGCATCCCTTTTCCTGTCTCCTGCCTCATTCACCACTCCTTTAATTATTGAACAAACATCTACCAGAGAGACAGCATGGCAGTAACTGATGTGTCATGACAAGTAGCATGTATTCAGAAGACCAGAATGACAGACATTCCAAGCATGAACCTACTAGTATACATTGCCTTCTTCAGTGCAGTTACTTAGTACACAGATATCAGTGTACATAGTTTGAAATGGGCATCTGAGATGAACACACACTTCTCAGAGGATGAAATTAAAGAAGTGAATAAATATATGAAAAAATGCTCCATATCACTAGCCATCTGTGAAATGAAAATTAAAACAACACTGAGATATCATCTCACTCCAGAAAGAATGGTTATCATAAAGAAATCAACCAACAACAAATGTTGGAGAGGCTGCAGGGAAAAGGAAACACTTCTCCACTGCTGGTGGAAGTGTAGACTGGTGCAACCATTATGGAAAGCAGTGTGGAGACTCCTTGAAAAACTAGGACTAAAAATCCTATTCAAACCAGCTATTCCCCTACTGGGATTTTCCTGGAAAATTTGTAAACATCATGTCATAGTGATACATGTGTACCTATGTTTATAGCAGCACAATTTGTGATAGCCAAACCTTGGAAACAACCAAGATGCCTGTTACTTGATTAATGGATGAAAAGGATGTTGCATTTTTATATAATGGAGTATTACTCAGCTATAAAGAATGATATATTCGAAGCCTTATATTAAGTGGATGCCACTTGAAGATATACTCATAAGTGAAATTAACGAGACCCAGATTGGGGATTAACCCTAAACGTTGGATTGTGCAGTGCTATAAGCATATTGCACATCAGACACAACCCCATGTATCCAATCCAACTCAGTCTCTCTCAGTACATGCTTTGTGTGAAGAATAGAGTCAGCCACTGGAAAATGTAGTGTGCCTGCCCTTGGCCTGAGTATAATCATGTGTGGTTCCAAAGGTTGCAAAGATTTGGCTTTAATGCAGCTCTGCCTTAAACTTCACAATGGAGATGGAACACAGAAGCTGTGGCTAGAGGGGCAGGTCTTGTCCTGGTGAAATAATGCTTTAATGGAGCTAGAAAAATAAACCAAGGCCCTTAGGTGTAGCAACGGGCATGTGTTATTCCAGATAATTAATGGGCTGAGACAGGTCTGTTGAATTTTTGAAGCATTGTGAAGCAAATTGGTGAATTCTGCCTTCTAATAAAAATAAGAATAGGTAAGCACAGAGACCATTGATATAGCATGTTAGTTCAATTTCTAGCAGGGAAAACAACAAGCAAACAAATGATGTATAAAAATGGCATAAAAGGAAAATGAATTAGAGTTCATTTGAAGGGGGAAAATGTGTTTTCCAACAGGCAATAGCACTCTAAATGAAGTAATTTGATAAGGGAAGGAAGAGTTTTTCCTTTGGTGTCATTTACAGCAATTTCGCCATTTCCTGGATGAATGGACTGAATAGCACATAGACTGAGAATTTGTCCACAGGAGATGCTCCTACCTGTGTTATTGGTAATCTCATTGTCTGCACAAGGGATGCAATCAAAACAACAGGCAGCCTTTCCCTCCTCAGGGCTCTTTCTGTATCCAGGATTGCAACTCTCACTGCAGACTGAGCGGGGAGTCTAAGGAAAAAATATATGGTGCTAAGTTTTCATACATTTACTTACTTCATCAGAGCTGGAGGGAAAAACTTAATTTGTATTCATACATCGCAAAATTATGTAGTTGCATGCCAAACTTATTTTATAAAATGAAATATATTTAGAAAATGATATTTAATTACATGCCTTTCATTTCCACTTATGAGCGCGGTAGTAAACTTTCTTTTTAAATGGAGAACTCATTATTGTTACTAAATTTTCACATGTGACCATTACATGTGAAAAATTGGTGGCCCAAAGCCTGTGCCAGTGTTGTTTACCTGTGCTTAGAAAGTGCTATGATTAGGTGGGACATACCTCTGCAACTCCTGTGGCCCACTCTATCATATCCTCAGATACAGTCAATTTATGGCCATGTGGAGCATGGGAAGAAAATGTGCCAACTTTAACTTTAAGTCTAAGGCCTTCTGGAAAGTTCCAAAAATTGAGGATGTCATACTCTGAATCCAGTTTTTGTCTCTCATCCAAATTCACTAGTTCCCCAGAAGGACTGGAAAATTCGATGTTCTTCAGAAAGAGATGCAGCTAAAAAAGACACCTTGTCCTTTGAGAACAGGGCTCCAGAAGAAAGACATAATATGTGGGGGAAGATCATAAACATCTTCAATCTCTTTAACATGAAGCCACTTTAACACTGGTGTCTATTACACTAGAGCATACAAACATTTCAGGACTAGAAAGGCACCATGTCAAGAAATTTCACCCAGTAACAGAAAACAATGTTATATGAAAAACCATTTAAAATTATGTATAGTTCTGTTGTGGCAAAACATCACTTGCGGAATCAAAACATGTGAAACCCTCAACATCCATTTCTATCTGGTTATTCCCAATGAATCTGCCAAAAATGGATTCATAAACAGTCAGGTTCAGTGCGTTTAGTTTTGTAAGTGACTACTTCGTTTCCTATTGTCTAGAGAAAAAATATGGTACATGTATACATGTGTAAGATATTGACCAGTTATTTTCAAAAGTAGGGAGCTGGTTTCATGTTTCCTGCTCCTACACAGTGGATACTAGATTGAGGTTCATTTCTAATTACTCAAAAATGACCACCTTAATAATAAGTGTGATTCTCAATGTCTAGTGCTTTGCAGAAATTATTTGAATATCCTTAGGTGAATCATATAGAATAACTTGAGAGAGGCACCTTGATGACACTGCCTACCATCCGAGGGAAAACACATTACCTTCCAGGAGGGAAACATCATCACTTGTCTATTGCTCATCGGTGGCATTTGTACTTCTTCTAAAAGCATGGCGTGAAGGGCATGGGCCACAGCATAGACAGCATTGTACATATTGTAGCTCCTATCTCTTACAGCTCTCTGAAAACGATTCAGAGGCAACCAAGCCAGAGACGCATTATGGGTACAGTTCATCAAGGCACAGTCAGAATCAGAGAACGAGCAGGCAAAATTCTTAGACCAATACATAACAAGGTAAGTGTCCTCTGGGTATTTGAGAGGGGTAGCTTCCTGGACAAAATCTTTAAAACCTGAAATCTCTTCATGGTGGTATGACACAACGAGAATCCCACGGAATGGATCAAGTATGAAATGTCTCCCATCCAAGTCAGCATGCCATTGAGAATTGGTCACCCAGACTTTCCATGTCACTAAGTTTTGCACTATGTGGAAGTTTACATCATTTGCACTATCAGTGTCATAGTAAATGACCACCACGTTGGCAGATGATGTCTCTGCAGTCAGGATTTCATGTTTCTTTGCAGCTGAGTTATAGGACACAGTCGCTGTTAACACCATTCTCACAAAGGCTGCACAGACTCTGTTCCTGTCCATCTCAGCTCTTATATCCGAGAGAAACTGAAGACCCTTATGGCTCTCTGTGATGAGCAGGCCCACCCAGGTCCAGTGAAAATGAAGCATCAAGGACACCATGGCAAGGGCCAAGTATGTCTCCTTTGGAGCTACCTGATGGAAAGAAGGATACTGGCCACTGTCCATCAGTGTAGGATCAAATGAGCCAAAGTTAACCTTAAAAGAAAATAAAATTGTGAAACATGCTAGAGTGTTGATGGAAAGCACAATAGTAGCTTTTAGTGTACTGAGTGACACCTCCAAGTTATGGAAAGTGACACATGCTCCTCCCATTAATATCAACATCACCCACGGAGATTGTTTTTAACGAATGAGTGTATTAAGATATCGAACAATAAGTTTTCTTCCCCTTTTACCTTTTCCTTTGATTCCAAAAAAGAAAAAGTAACAAAATTGTAAGTCACTAAGTGTCTTTCTTTGTACTCTGGTACATTATACACCTTGAAAGAAGCTAATCGTAGCTTCATCTTTAATCCTTAATGTGCCAAGTATGTGAAGCACCATGAGTGTTCTTCCCTATTTTCCTGCCTCACCAACCTCACCTGTGGAAATCTGTAGAGCTCCAGCAGTGGTCCAATCTGAGCTGAGGTTTCCCATGGCATTTCTGTCACTACTGCCACACCCTTGCTTTCTTTCCTACAAATGTAATTAGGGATCTCATTTTGTCCTGTCAGCAAAATGAAGGAATTTTCTAGTATCCTCCAATGACTGCTAATGAAATTATGGAACTCATAGCCCAGAGAAATGTTGGGTAACAGATGAGGATTTCTGTTGATCTCATCTATAGCAAAAATGAAGGCCAAGTAGTTCTGGTACTTGCTGGATGTAAGCCTGCACAGAGAACACAGAGAACGTTAAGAAAAATATGCAATCAATGATCATCTTCCAAACCAGTCCAGCACCATTTACAAAATGAATGATAGTATTTTTCTACACACTTATAAGAATCAAGTATGGATATGATCATGTTAGGACTGGGGAGGTACCTTAGCGGTCTAACTGCCTTCCTGGAAAGTGCAAGATCCTGAATTCAATCCCCAGTACTTCATGCAGTGCCATCCCAGGAACCCCAGGCATGGTAGAGCATGCTTTTAATCCATGAGTTGTGGAGGCTCAGACGGAAGGATCAGTATGAATCTTATCTGCACAATGAGACCCTGTACTCAGTAAATAAATTTTTTAAAGATGAAATTAGAGATTGGCTTTATAGAATGCAATTGGCATTAGATCTATAGGGGCATGGATTCAGGCTAAAATTTCTGTATAGAATTACACTTTGTAGGTCTTTATAAGTATAAATATAGAATTTTAAAAAGCTGAACTTTTTTTTAGGTCAAAGCTTATATTTTGCTTAATGAAAAAAACAGTGAGTCACAAGTTGGGTGTAGGTCAGGTGTACAGCCTCACTCTCGAGCCAGAAATTCAAGGCATAGACATTTGCTCTGGGCCAGGAAGATGGCTCAGTGGAATAAGCGCTTCCCTGGCAAGTGCAAAGGCCTGAGTTCAATCCCTGGTTCCGCCAAAAAAACAAAAACAACAACAACAACAACAACAAAACACACACACACACATAGACATTTGCTCCACCCTTCCCCTCCTAAAGATTTCTTTAAAGGAAACTTAATGTACTATTGACAAAGTGCAATCTTCTTTGAATGTTGTGTCATGAAGCTTCTTAAAGAAGCTGTCTATCAAGAGTTTTTTCATTACTTTCTATTGTTCTGGAGAGTTTTTTCTTCTGTATTTATAGGATCTCGCTACACAGATCAGACTCATAGTGATTCTTCTGTTATAAGCCTCTCAAGTGCTGAGATTACAGGTGGGAGCCACCATGCCTCATATCAATTGCTCTCTCAGCACTTCCTGGTGGCAGGACCTGCACAGCACGCTGGGGATCAAACCCTGGTCCTTATGGCTGCCTAATTAGGTGCTTTGATCCACTGAGATATCTGACTGACACAACTGGATATTTTTTAAATTTTTTATTTCATTTAATGAGAAAAAACAGAAAATAGCAATGAAACAGTTTCAAAACAGGTTAGTAAGACACCTGCAATAATTAATACATTGCATATTGCTGTCTTCATAGTATTCAGACGACAAGATGCAGACAGGATATCTTGTCTAAACAATACTAGTACAAACCTTTCTTCTCATTGAACTAAAAGAAAGTAACTGCGTATTTATCCTAACACACACACACACACACACACACACACACACACACACACACATATCTCAGTACAAAATGGTCCTTATTTATATCCCTCTTTTTTGTTTTGTTTTGTCAAAGATGGTATTACATTGCTGTTATAAAAGCTGTATTTGGACAAGTCTTTAAAGGACCTTTTCATACTTGTTACCAGTCCAAATATTATAGGTACTTGCATTCAGAAAAATAACACAATATAGTCCAATAGTCCATAATAGTATTGAGTTATAAGCACAACTGGCAATTTTCAGAAGTTGTTGATTTGAGCCTTTTACAGCTCAGTGTATTTTTTTGACAGGTCAGCCAGCAGGGCAGTGCTGGCGTGACATGTGGTGCCAGGGTTTGAACCATATTTCCTGTGCTTCCCTGAGCTTGCCTAAGCAGGTGCTTTAAACACAGCCATCTCACCAACTCCTGCTCTGGAATTTCTAAGTAATATAATAAATATTTGCAATTAGGGAAGCATAAAAGAATTGAAGACGAAGCAGTCATGAATATCCTATTAGTAATAAGATTATTCACCTGAAAATTTAAAAAAAAAATCTGGTATAGACACAGCACAAACTAAGTTAAAGAAGAAAAGTAAAGAGGTATCCAATATAAAATTGGTAACTGAAAGTCCTTTGAGAGAAAAATATATGTTATAGCAGTAACCTTACGAAAATGAACAAAAAGACATTTAAAAATTATTTGATTTTACTTTGAAAAGTAAAAATGAATAAAAACAAACATCAGAAGCAAAGACAGAAACCGGATAGCATACATGCTAAATAGTACACATGTTAAAGATTTTCAAACCAAGAGAGAGACATTTTTAAGCCCTAAGATTCCAACAGAGATAAAAATATTAAAAAACATTTTATAAACGTTAAAATAAAAACCATTTTGCCTCTGTTGCCAGTACGCATAAACGTTAAAAGAAGAGAACTTTTGTACTAATGACAAATGTTACATCAATAGGACAGATTATTAAAAGGCCACCTCTATCTGTTGGGATAAGAAAGAGTTAACCTGCTAAATAACCTGCAGGGAATGTGAGATGAGGAAAAGGAAACAGGACAGCCACAGCTGCAGGAGTAACCAAGAGCACTTGGAAGTCGAGGACACCCTGCCTTTGTGTGCTTGCTCCCAGAAGCCTACCAGGTTCTCACATAGAGCCTAACCATTAATCTTGGACACACACAATGGGATCTTGTTATGTTCACCTAAAGTTACCTGAAGGCTGACACTCAAGATATATAAAAATAAAGACCAAAGGAGGGGCCGCAGCCTTTTTGCTTGAGCTCTTGCTTTGCTTGCATTGAATATCCATGTGTCCTTGCTCGTGGCCAGCACCCATGAGTCTTTCCCAACATCTATCTATATCAGTCTCTATCTGTCATTTATCTATCTACTCTCGGTGTGTCTCCGTTTGACTATCGTCTACCCTTTTTGTCATATTTGAATTAAAATTCATGATTATTATATTGTGTTATTCATAGTGAAACCTACTTGACAACTACATAGCAGTGAATGCATATTTTTCAGAAAACAAAGTATAGAAGCACTTTGGTAGAAAATAAAAGAAATAAAATTAATAGAAAAATGTTTTCATCATTATACATTCAGATGCAGTGCAAATAGGAACAAGAAAAATGTGAATGATAGATACACGTTTCTAACCTAGAAACTCATATTCTATTTCTGGCTAAGCACTATTTGTGTAAAATTTACAACAAGCAAAATGTCAAGTAAATCATTTTTAAAACAATTGTTCAACTATTTTCTTTTCCTTAATACCCAAAACATTTTTAAAAGTTATAAGTTCTTTTCTAAGGTAAAAAAAAAAATAATGAGGCGTAAGTAATCAAGTGAAATACTCACAAAGTAATGCAAGCTATATGAACAATGCAAACGTTACTGAAGGACCCACCCATACTATCAACATGACATCTCTTGTTTACCTTCAGTGTAGGTCAGTTGTCCACTGCAAAGGCTAAAGAGCTGATACTACTATGAGCTAAAAATGCCCTTATTTTGTTTTGTATGTAGTTTGATAATATGCACAAAATAACTTAATATATGACCTTGGATACAGTAATTTTACTCTTCACCGTTGCTTAGCTTTAATCAGAGAGCATTCCTCTAAGTATCAGACACCCCCTCTTTACAAGAACTCATTTGGAACATCCCCAAATGAGTGAGAATAAAATTACAATATATTTAAACAATATGTCAAGCAATAATAATAATTACTATGAATATTATAGTACTATACAAGGAATTACATTGGTAAAAATAGAGGTACAATAATGCCACTTTGACTGTACCTACTAGTATGTGCAGAAAAGCCACAGTGCTATCAAAGCTAAAGTAGAAATCAAATGACCCCTGCATTTACATCTCTGAAAAATTAATTTTTTAATATATTAAAAGTAGATTCAATATATGGTTGATCAGAAATACATGAATTGCTTATATCTAAACATTTTTATGTTCCGAAATTTCTTTCCTTCTCATTTTAGCAGAATGTAAACTCTCTCTTGAGGCCCTAAACTCTTGTTCCTGGCGGATACATCAGGCTGGGCATAGAAACTCAGAAGCGCAAGTGCTTTCTTTTCAGACATAGACAGAGCTCACAGTGCTTGAGTCGAAAGCAGGGCCGCCTACAAAACAGCCTGAGTGAGCATATGTGGGGACAGCAGAGCACAACAGAAGAGTAGATACCACATCCTCTCCTCCTGGGAACAGAAACACATCCTACACAATTGAACTAGTCTTGAAATCTGATACAGGCTGATGCCTGATCATTGCCACCCTACTCAGATGCCTCTGATCACACTGGGCTGTCTTTAGTTAGGATCCTCTCAGGCAGGATTAGCCGGAATCCCTCATGATCCCCCTCCACGCTCCTGGTGAATTCTAAATGCACAGTGGTCCCTTCTCCATTCAAAGTCCCTCCTCATACAAACCACATTTCAGTGCATTCTATACTGAGGTTTATGCCCTGATCAAACAAAATCTTTTTCATAATTTTCCATAAGTGACAGGAGTAACTAATCCTCTCACAGGCTTTAGGGGATTTCCAGCAGAGCGATCTAAGTTAAATACTCAAAAATAGTTCTGATCTATAACAAACAAGAAACATTCAGTAGGAGGCACCGGGATCAAAGTTTGTGTATTATGTAAGTGTGTAACAACACACATTTTTGAAAATGATGAATGTAAAACACATATTCAGGGTTCAATAAGAAGTGCCTGTCATGCCAGTTATTCAAGATCCTGAAACAAAAGAAAATCTTGAGCTCAAATATTTGTTGGTAGCACAGTCAGAACAGGAAGTCCCTGTCTCACATACTATGTAAACATGTCAATGTGTCCAAGAATAAAAATATAAGGAAACATCTGGATATTATAAGGAATGTGCAGCTGGGAGATAGCTCAGTGTCTTAATTGTCTGGCAAATGCAAGGTCCCGAGTTCAGTAGCCAATATGAGAACAAAAGTATGAAACAGATGCAGACCCCATCTATTGAAGTGAAAGGCCCAGGTTCCTTACTCTGCTGTCTCTGCTCCCAAATAGGGTGCAGAATTAAAGAAATCAGAGTCACAGCTGTGTAATATAGGGGCCTGGATTAAAAAATAATGAAAACTTCTATCACCAAGGTAAAAACAATAAAACGAAGCCTAATAAATAATTATCTAATACACACATAATGGCACAGAAATGAAGGAAACTACAGAAAAATTCACATCGTCAGGTTGAAAGAGCTTCCATACCTGAAAATCCAGTTCCAGTGCTGAATAACCTCTTCACATGGATTTTTGGGCCCTGATTAGGAAGTTTCAGAGTAGGTTTCCTCGATGGGATCCACAAGCCCTCCTACCTTTGAGTACTCTTAATTACCAGTTGACACAAAATGGGCAGTGTCCCACTTTGTGCATGAGCAGAAGCAATGAGACTGTAGTCCCCTAGACCTGGCCAGGTACCTCAGTGATCAAATATCTGTGTGTTCTAGAGGGGTAGGAAAAAACTCCTCAGGAAGTGCCCAGACTAACAGTGGGTTTCTTCTCATATCAGGACACCCACCAAAATCCTAATATGAAATAAATAGAACAAGGCCATGGCACTGGGTTACGACCAAGGAAAATCATTCTGTATTTAGTTTTAACCCTTCCTGTGGGCAGCTGCCACAGAACCACTGTGAGTCAGCATCTTCCATAAGAGTTGATTTGTTCCCGTGACATCTCCTTTTATCACAAAAGTACAAGCTACAAGCATTTCTTTGGAAATCTCTGACCAATAGGAATAATCATTTTTTTTAAACTATGTTTGGCGTTAGACCTGACACAATACAATTTGAGTACAGAAAAGATACACACATCCAACTGAGGAAGTGCCACATGGGTGGGAATGTCTCTCAGATGATTCATTTCTCATTCTAGGATCAGCGTGCAGTGGCAGCAGTTCTGGAGCACCCTGCCCATAGGAAGTGTTAAACCTAAATACATCATGACCTTTCTTTGTCATAACACAGCGCTGTGGCCTTGGTCTGAATATTACACATTGCAGTTTATATGGGTGTCCTGATATGAGCTGAAACTCACTGTTACCCTGGTCAGGTTCCAAAGTGTTTCTTTCTTACTCATCTAGAAGATGCATAATACTATCATTTGAAATAGCAACTACATATTTACAGGAATAAGTTACTCCTAGCAGCAAGGGTAGAAATATCAGAAGAGAGTATGTAAGAATGGAAGGAATTTCAGTCTCAGAGAAAGAGACTTCAGCAAACCTTCAATGCATTAGGGCACATTTGGCAATATAAACTTAGCATTCAGATCAATCTAAGGAACACAATCAAGAAGAGGAATGTCACCTCATTCCATGCAGTGGCATCCAGGTCTGAGGAAGGTAAGAAGCACAGAGTGTGGGATGATTGGGGTCCCTGTAAGGCTCCAAGAATGAAATAAACAAGCTAGGAATACAAACAAAAATAATATTCTCTTCCCAAATTCAAATGTGAGAGTCCACATTTTATGCCTACTGTACACATGAGGGTGGACAGAACAATTGATTCTTTAGAAAATATTGATTCATGTATCCATACAAGTCTAGGCATTATCTCTAGGCATGATCGCTTGATGTCCAGAAAGAAAATAAATAAATGAAGATGACACATACGGAAAGAAGTAGAGTTCTCTAGTAGGCTGTATATCAATCATACCAGTATAGTACATGAAGAAATAAAGAGACAAGAAACACCCAATCACCATGTCTCCATCCTTGTGCACGCTGGTGCTCCTTTGGCGAAGGCATGCTTCATTATCAAAAGTACACACTAAGGAAGGAAGCTGAAGGAGAAGGAAGATAACAATCAAAGACAACATTTTCGATGTGAAGAGGAAAGTCACAGTCTGAGCCAGGTATATGAATATGTTGTGTGTGTGGGGGGGGGTGTGTGTGCGTGCACGTGCATTTCAGTATGTCATTATGTCAGACTCAGGTGGACACTGTGATGCTTCATCTCTTGTCACTAGTACCCACTTCATGTCCCTGGATAAGTTCGCCACCAAATTGTCTCTCAGGGCTCTACATCTGAGGTCTGGCGTCCAGGACAAAAACACGAAACAGAAATTATACTTGACAAACATCTTCTCCACCTGTGCCTCATGATTTAATCCACCTCCACTGACAGCAATATCCCAGGAGCGACCTCCTGGCCAGATTTGTGGTTAAGTCTTTCTGAAAAATTCAAGTGGAGATGCCATTAGAGATGTTCCTAAATGGATCACACTAAAGGATTTATTTTATTTTATTCATTTTAATGAGAAACAAGGTAAAGTAGCAATGAAACAGTTTCAAAATAGGTTAGTAGGACAGTTACAATAATTAATACATTGCATATTGTTGTCTTCATAGTAATTATTCAGAGGACAAGAGACAGATGTTATCTTGTCTAAAAAATATTAGTACAAAATTACATTCTCAAAATAAGAGAAAGTAGCTGTATACCTATCCTAACACACAAACATGTGTGTGTGCGCACACACACACACACACACACACACACATATAAGAGATTATTTCAATTCTCTTGAAATAGTCTGGAAAGTCTCAAGGTCCAGCAAAGAATATTGGACAATGTACAATCTAAAGAGGAAAATTCGGAACTATCATTTGAGAGGACCATGATCAAGTGTTGCAGCCTCAGTTTTTCCTTCTATAATAGTGTTCTCCCTGTACTAGTCACAGGCTCTGAAACTCACAGCCACACTTGCTCTCCATTGCTTTGGGTACTAATGATTGCTCTGCAGCCAGGAAACTCCAACTAGTGACTGAACATCAGTGCAGGAATACAATGCACTGGAGAGCTGAATGGTTTAGCCACTGTCCCTGCTCTTTGTCCTTTCTAGGTTCGCAATCCTCATGTCAACATACTGTCAGAATCCATTTCTACTCCTGCAACCTTGGGTTTCTCAACCCTGTGTTGAGGAAGTTTCTTTCTTTCCATCACCCTGAACCACAGGAACAAAGTGAATATGACTACTATACTTCTCATCACTCAAAATTTTGAGGAGCAGCGAAGCACAGGCACACTTCAGAACCCTGAGAATCAGTGCAATTTTCAGGACATGTATTTGGAATGACACTGTACAGTTCGCTAAGTTACGTTACATTACATTACATCTTGTGTTTGTTAGAATGGAAATAACCACTATAATCAGTGATCCTTGATGTGCACTTGGACTTTATTTATTATACAGGTGTCAATATTGGCTTATAAAATGACATGTTTATAATAGGGGATCTCTTAAAGAAGCAAGGAATCATTGACTTTTTTAAAGATAAACTTTAAAAATTAAAGTATACACATTTTTTTTTTGTGGAACCAGGCATTGAACTCAGACTGTTGCACTTGCCAGGGAAGCGCTTATTCCACTGAGCCATCTCCCTGGCCCATTAAAGTATGCACATCTTCAGAAATATTTTTATCCGGTTTGGAAGGTGTTGGACTCATGTGCTCATTAAGATTTAGCTGGTCAAAATAAAGTTGGACTATAAGAGCAAATTATTTAAAGAGTTTATTTTTAATTAAGGTGTAACAAATTTTTCATCATTTTATAACAACTATATGGCAGGGTAATATATTGGCTCTATTGGGGCTAATAGACTATATCAAGATATTCTTAAATTACATAGTTTTATGTCCATCAGTCCGGACATGGCAAGTTGTATCCAGTGAAACACAAATATGATTTGGAATACACGTGAGTCCTTCACCTAAATAAGTGACTTGCCAAACTCAAGCTTTCTTCTCTAATTTGGGCCAGACTATTAATTGGATTGAACTCTGTTTCAAATGTAATAAATAATGAAATTTTTATTACATAATAATTTAATATCATGTAATAAATTAATGTATATTATCAGATTATAATTTCTTCTATCATGGCTCATAGTAAGTATATTTCAGATATTACATTAACATCATGCATTCGGAGTTATTTTTTCTTCTATATGAGAGATAAATTTCTAGTTTTGTGTTCTCATTTGTATCCAATTTTCTCCAACAAGTGTTTTAAAAAAAATACCTATTTCATTGCATTTATATTTTTACTATGATGACATCAGATCCTGTACACATCAATCCAGCTAAAGAATTCCCATGTAACTTAATAAAACAAGTAGGTCTAGGAAGTGAAATACCCTGGGAAAAATAAAGTTCCTGAAATAAAGGTTCATGTTTACCAGATTTATGCAGAAATTTAAGAGTAAATTTATGGTTTACAAAAATAACATTAACAATAATAGAAAAAAATAAGATGGAGTTTCATTGAAAACATAACAGAAGAAAGAAATTTAAAAAAATAGAAAGTGCACAAACTTCCCATGTACATAGATTGCGAAAATTAATATTTTAAAAATGGCAGTATTCCTCTTGAATGAGGCAAAGTTTTAATCCATTTTTTTGTAGGTCAGTTGTGTAAAGATGCATGTGTTGATTTTGGGGACCTCTAATTGTTTCCATTGTTGTACATTGATTCTTATGTCAACAGAATAGTATTATGTTACAATGGCTAAGCAAGGTGTGGAGCTCCTGTCTTTGTTTTATTTTGCTTCTTTTTTTCCTTTAAGTGAATCTTACAGGTTTCTATCTTGTAACATGGACAACTAATCTGAAGATGGCATCACGTAATACAATGATTGTTGTGGAATTCTTATTGCTTTGTTTAGTGAAACCTTCTAATGCTTTTAATGCTGTTTTTTCTATCACTATTTTGTATTCTTTACAATTGAAAGAAAGAAAGAAAGAAAGAAAGAAAGAAAGAAAGAAAGAAAGAAAGAAAGAAAGAAAGAAAGAAAGAGAAAAGAAGAAAGAAAGAAAGAAATGGAGAGAAGTGTGGCTGCTGTAAGGTTCAGTGCCTGTGACTGGCACACAGACAATAGAGATACACTGGAAATGTTCTTAAATGCAATGCTTGATTATGAGCCTGTCCAGTGATAACTCCCAATCTTCCACTTTGGAGGCACAATATCCAATACTTTTTCCCTATTCTTGAGGCTTCTAAGACTATTTCAAGAGAATCTTAATATTAAATCCTTTATTTTTTTTT